CCCCCGAAAGCTGAAAGTGAGTATGTGAGCATCACTCAATGTACGGCATGGGTGGGTGTGGCTGGCAGAGAAGATACGCAGTCATAGGATGGTTTGTGTTGAAAAGGACCTTTTATAGGTCATCTAGTCTGCACATATCCCTGCTGAGACCTGGCTCTGTCAGAGGTCCACACATCACCCCTGAGAGCTCAGAGCTTCTGACTTCACCATGTCCCAAAGGCTCCTGGTGGCCCCACAAGTTGCCTTCAGAGCAGCTGTGCGTGTGTGTCTGTTCTCACCCTGACTCTGTGTGCCTCAGCTGCCCCCACAGCAGTGCCCACGCTGGCTGGGGGTGAAGGGAACTACACTGTGGAGAACTCCTCCCCAAGGCAGGCACTGCCGGAGCCTGAACCTGCTCTCACTGTGATCATCCTCATCATGTACCGCACCCTGGGGGGGCTGCTGCCTGCACGCTACCAGGTGGATCGCCGCAGCGTCAGGTACATCCTTCTCCCCTTTGCCCTCCACAAGCTCCAGTGGAGAGAGGCTGTCTGGACTCTGCTCTGCTCAGTCCAGCAGTTGCTGAGTCTGCAACAGTTTGGGTTTGGTTCCTAGCCAGATGGTCCTGCAGAGCTCCGCCTATTCCTCACCCTGGCGTTGCCCTGCCCCGTGCTTCCCGACTGCTTGACATGGGCTGGGCAGAGCTGTTCCTTGGGGCACATCAGTGTGGGGCATCTGGGAAGTCTCGGGATGGCTGCAGCTGCTGGGCACTGTGATGGTAGAGCTCTGCTCCTCCTTGCAGGCTCCCCAAGAATCCTGTGATGAACTCCCCGATCGTGAGCGTATCTGTGTTCAGCAATCACACCTTCCTGCGGGGGCCCCTGGAAACCCCTCTTGTGCTGGAATTTCACCTGCTGGAGACGGCCAACAGGAGCAAGCCTCTCTGTGTCCAGTGGAACCACTCCAACCCGTAAGTCAAGCACAGCTGGACCACTCTCTCTGAGCTGCTTTCCTTGGGCACCTGCTCATTCCCTGAGTCTCCCAGGCTGTGCCTGGGCAGCATTGGAACATAGGGGTTTCTGCCGTCTCCCGAGGGGCTCCTGCTGGGAGGGTGGAGCAGGGTCGCTGCAGGGCTCTGGCTCCAGCACTTCAGCTGTAGGAGTGCAGTTGTATCCTCTGGAAGAAAAATCACCCCTCTTCTGTGATTCCTTCCCCATGCACCACACTCATCTGTCTGCACGCCTAAGTGTGCTTTGCTTTTTGGTGCCTGCAGGACCAACCCATCTGGCTTCTGGACAGCCAGGGACTGCGAGGTCGTTTACCGGAACACCACACATGTCCACTGCCAGTGCTCCCAGTTTGGCACCTTTGGAGTTCTGATGGACAGCTCACACCGAGAGGTAACTTCAGTCTGTGGGCTTGGGGGCAGTGGTGGGGGTCTGTTACCTTCTAAGTCCCAGAATAAGCAGGCACAGGCAGAGAATTCCCTGTGGGACACAAGTAGAATTTGAGGTCTCAGCAGCCTTCCTGTGTCTCCCCCTAATACCACCATCTGCCTTTGGTTCTCTGCTGCTGCAGCAACTTGAAGGTGACCTAGAGACATTGGCAATTGTCACCTATTCCTTGGTGACTCTCTCCTTGGTGGCTCTGCTGATGACCTTCTCCTTCCTGACCTGCCTCAAAGGCCTGAAGTCCAACACACGTGGCATCCACTCCAACATATCAGTCACCCTCTTCTTCTCTGAGCTGCTCTTTCTCCTGGGCATCAACCGCACGGAGAACCAGGTCTGTAGCCTTGAACAAGCACACCCATGGGCGTGGGGGCAAGGCGTGGATGATGCAGTTAGAATTGGCACAGTGGGACCATCTCTGAGTGGCTTTTGTTTTCTCAGTTTCTTTGCACTGTGATTGCCATCCTCCTCCACTGCTTCTTCCTCTCCACCTTCGCCTGGCTTTTTGTCCAGGGCCTCCACATCTACCGCATGCAGACCGAAGCCCGCAATGTCAACTTGGGGGCCATGCGTTTCTACTATGCCATCGGCTGGGGAGTGCCCGCCATCATCACTGGTAAGAGCTGCTTGTCCCACAGCACTGCCACAGCATCAGTTCTCAGCAGCCTCTTGAGCCCCTGCTGTTGCCTGGCTCACCTGTCCAGTGGGGAGAGCTGAGGGTGGGCTTGCTACAGGCAACAGTGTTGGCAGCAAGCAGTGCCGTGGCAGCCAGCTGTGGACATAGTATCAAAGGCTGTTGTCTTGCCTCCTGGGGAGAACTACTTCCTCAGCGCACCTCCCCATGGCTTGTTCAGTGGACTTCTTCTGTCCCAGGGCTTGTGGTTAAGGTCTCTTGGTTTTCCAAGCCTGTGTGCTTGCTTGACCTGTTGCTGGCAGTGAATTGTCTTGTGGGCTGGGCTGCGTCAGGGATGCCTGGAGAAAACAAAATAAAGGCTCCGATGTTGGGGCTCACAGCCCTGGCTCTTTCCCCTGTGGTGGGGAAGCCTGTAAATGGGGCAGAGAGCAGGAAGAGAGCCTCTTCATGGCCTTCAGTGCTGGGGTGGGATCGGTGTGGCTTGGGCAAGTCTAACGCTCCTGGGTCTGGACCTGGTATCTCCTTTCCTCCTGTAGGGCTGACTGTTGGCCTGGATCCCGAGGGCTACGGGAACCCTGACTTCTGCTGGATTTCCATTCATGATAAGCTGGTCTGGAGCTTTGCAGGCCCCATTACTGTCGTCATTGTGGTAAAACCCTGTCCTGTTTCACCCACAGCCCTCTCCTGCCTTCCTTTTTCCACACCATGGGCACTTGCCCCTTCCTCAGCTGCCCACTCCCTGCCCCATCCTCTGTACTCTCCTTTCTCAGTTAGAGGCCCTCTATCTGTGCCTTCTCGCTCCAGCCAAACCTGGGGGAGGCCATGGCTCAGGCATGAAGGGGAAAGGAGGGGACATTCGCATGGGCCTGGTGGACCTGGAGTGTGCCTACGCTCTGGGGATGTTAGGTCAGAGCCGGCACTTGGCACAGCTTCTAATCAGTGCCAACGCTTTCAGATGAATGGGGTCATGTTCCTGCTTGTGGCCAAGATGTCCTGTTCCCCAGGCCAAAAGGAGACCAAGAAGAAATCGGTTCTGTGAGTATTAGTGGCCAAACTCCCAGCAGAGCTACTGTGGCTCATGGTTTTTAGCATCTTCAGTGACCATCCTCCTGCTTCCGCCATCGCAGAGTATCTCTCTGTGCATCAGTGTCAGCCTTGCAGCCAGTCTCCTCTCCCACACCTGCCAGCCACATTAACCCTTCCTAAACTTGGTCCTTTCTTCTTGCTCTAAGTCCCCATCTCCTGTCCTGCCAGCTTGTTCCCCTTCACCACCTGCCCTCACAGCCATCCCTTGTGTCTGCTTGGATTCAACACTCTGCTTCTGCTGATTCTCAACACCTACTTCTTCCTCTCCTACATGCTCCTTCTGAGACCTTTCCCCGCTCCCTCCTGAGCTAGCCCTGGAGCTTGGTTCAGCTCTCTGTGGCTCCAAATGACCTGTGTCGCTTGGGCTCCTGTTTGCCGTATATGATCCAGAAGGGAAAGCCTGGGAGTTGGGGGCAGCTGAGCCGCTGTGCAGGGCTGTGCCCGCGGTGCTGGGTGCGGCAGGGAAGGCTGAGCAGGAGCACGCTTTCCTCTCTGGATCTCTCTCTGTGAGCACTAGACTGTCGATTAACAATACGCACTAACCTCTTGGTGTGTGTCTGTGCCTGTCTGTCTGTCTCTCTCTCTCCAGCATGACGTTACGGAGCTCCTTTGTTCTGCTTCTAGTTATTAGCACTACCTGGCTTTTTGGCCTCTTGGCTGTCAACAACAGTGTCCTGGCTTTCCACTACCTCTACACTGTCCTCTGCAGCCTCCAGGTAACTGCCTGGTCTCTACCAGGGGAAGACATGGGTCAGCCCAGGAGCATGTTCTTGTCCCCACAACCGTCTCTCTGGAGAGTGGGTGCTCTGTGCTTAGCCCCCAACACCACGCTGGGCTCCGTGTCCCTTTTGTGTTCACCACTGCGGCACCAGGGGACTCCTGCCGGTCCTCGCTGCTGTGCCCACAGCGAGCGGTGGTATGGAGCAGGGGATGGCTGCAAAGCGCTTTGTTCAGAGGTGACATCCAAGGGGCAGCAAGGACCGTCTTTGGAGAGAAGGGGCCTCCATGCTCTCAGAAGACAGAGCAAGAGAGCAGCCTGCAGTGGAGGTGTCGGACACCCCAAAAATGAGCGACCACAGCACCCCACAGACCTCCTGCTGCCACTGCAGCTGGTGTTGCTGCAGGGGACTGCTTGGTCACTGCCAGCTGGAAGGATACCCCACCTTTTCCTCCCTCACCCATGGCCACCATTGGGATTAGCACCAGTTGGTGTTGGGGGATTCTTTGGTGCATCCCAGTCCTGGTGGCCATCAGGGCCTCTGGAGGAGCCAGGGGCTGTCCCAGCTCTGGCGCTGTGGGCGAGCAGGTTGGCCGGCAGTGGGGAGCTGTCTCTCACGGCATCTCTCCCTGCAGGGCCTGGCTGTGCTGGTCCTGTTCTGCGTGCTGAATGAGGAGGTGCGGGAAGCCTGGAAGCTGGCTTGCCTTGGCAAGAAGGGGCAGAGCGAGGAGGCTACGAGGAGCACGCAGGTGGGCAAGAGCAGGAGCAGCCCAGGGGTCTGGGGACAAGCTGCCTGCCTGGGACTGAAGCCAACAGGGGGACATCCCCTCTTCCCTGGGGGGACGGTGTGTGCGGGTGGGAAGGCCATCCCCTGGGCTGCGGTGGCACCTCCGTAACAGGGCACATGGCCTCTCTCCTGGTCTCACCAGGGCCCCAACGCCTATAACAATACAGCGCTGTTTGAGGAGAGTGGGCTTATCCGCATCACCCTGGGGGCCTCCACCATCTCCTCGGTGAGCAGCGTGCGCTCTGCTCGCACCCACTCCAGCCAGCGGGCTTACCTCAGGTAGGGAGTGGCGCGGGGCTCCGGGGTGACTGGGCAGAGCTGGGAGCTCCTGCCGCTGTGACCCTTCGGGCCTCCTTTCTTTCAGAGACAACGTGACCACACGTCAGGGCTCGGCCCTAGATCACAGCCTGTTAGCTCATGCTGGCCCCACGGACATCGACGTGGCCATGTTCCACCGTGATGCTGGAGGAGGTAAGGCCTAGCCCTGTGCCTGGGTTTGGGGCCGGCCCTGTGCATCAAGAATTCATTCCTGGCCTAAGGAAATTCTTCCCAGTGCAGGCTCTGGGTGTGTGGTTACATCCTCCACCTCATGTTCAGCTGTGACTTGCAAGCACGCTGCGGATAGGAGGAGAGGCAGCAACTGTGTTGCTTAGCACAGCCTCCTCCTGGACAGTTTAGCACTGCCTCCTCCCGGCCGGATGGCAAAGGGCATAGCAAGCCTCCAAGGAGCTAGAACTGGAGGAGGTGAGAGAGGGGGCACAGACTCTCAGGTGTTCCCTGGGGACACTGGGCTCCCCAGCAGTACACAGACGTTTGGTTCACTGGAGTGAGACCAGCAGGGGCTAGAGCATGGGACGGGTGAGCAGAGGCTGAGGGAGGTGCGTTTGTTCAGCCCAGAGGAAGAGGAGGCAAAGGGGATCTTGTGGCTATTTGCAGCTGCCTTATGGGGAGATGCAGCAAGATGGAGCCGGGCTTCTCTTAGGGGCATCTGGTCATAGAGGCAAGGCAGTGGGCACAGGCTGCTGCCAAGGGAAGGGCAGCGAGGGGTAGGGCAGGCTGTTGTCCTCAGGAAGGGTGGTCAGCCCTGCGGTGGTCCTGCTACCGAGAGCCTCTCACACCTTCGTTCGAAGTGTCTCTCCAACACACACTGTGTCCCTACAGACCAGGACTCAGACTCAGACAGTGACCTGTCTCTGGATGAAGAGCGCAGCCTCTCCATTCCGTCCTCAGAGAGCGAGGAGAATGTACGCCTGCGGGGCCGCTTCCAGCGCCAGTTCAAGCGTGCAGCACACAGCGAACGCCTCCTCACTAACCCCACCAACACCACTCCCAAAGGCAAGTCCCAGGGGCTCTGGCAGGAGAAGGGGTCAGCTCAGGTCCCTGGGCGCCAGGCTGTGTCTTGCAGTGGGTTCAAGTCCTCACAGAAATATTCTCTCCTTCTTCCCCCGGGCCTCTTTTGATGCGTCCTTCACCAGACGTGGATGGCAATGACCTCATGTCATACTGGCCAGCTCTGGGCGAGTGCGAGGTTCACCCCTGCTCCCTACAGAAGTGGGGCTCTGAGCGGAAGCTGGGTTTTGACATCAACAAAGATGCAGCCAACAATAATCAGCCAGACCTGGCCTTGACCAGCGGGGACGAGAACTCCCTCACCCAGACCCAACGGCAAAGAAAAGGTAACAGCCCGGAGCAAGCAGGCGAGAGTGGGGCCTTGTCTGTCTCAGACTGATGTGGCTGTGAAGGCTTAGCATCAGATCCATCTTGTTGTGTCCTTGGGGGATGTGTGGCTTATCTCCCCCAGCTTTAATGCTCTTTTCACTGTTAGGAAAAGATTTGACTTCTCTTTCTGTCTGGTGCAGGGATTTTGAAGAACCGCCTGCAATACCCTCCGACCCTCCAAGCCCTGCCGTCCGTTGGCAGGATGACCAACGAGCTGACGTGGTACAAGACCTCCACGCTGGGTCACAGGGCTGTACCTGCTGCCTCTTACGGCAGGATCTACTCTGGGGCGGGCAGTCTGTCACA